AAAAAAAAAAAAAAAAAAAAGTAGAGAAGCAACAGAGAAAGACACCTGCACCTGATGTCAGCCTCTGGCCTCCACACACATGCATACATACATGTCCATGGTCACCCTCATGCACACACATACGTGTACACATATACAGACAGACAAAAGGTCGATTTCAATAATAGAAACGTTTGTCCTTATAACACCCAGAACCAACATCCAGGTACTTACTCCTGGAACTTAGGGGAGCAGACAATGGCTATGGACTCCGGTAACATCATTTGATAGGAGCAGTGGGTATGTAGATCCACACTGGACAGAAAGGCTGTCTGGGTTGGGTGAGTCTGAGAAGATAAGACAAGCCAGAGAATTCTCAGTGAGCCCAGCCAGCCATGCCTGGTCCACCAAGGAAGGCAGAGCTTGCAACAGCAGCCCCAACCTCCTCTTCAAGTACAGAGCTGTTTGCAGTGCACAATAAGGTCCTTTCTAGTACTCTAAACAAGTAGAGTTTAATACGAGTATGTAAAAGAACTCTTAGGTTCTTTTTGAAGTTCAAGAGATTTTTGATAGTGTGGTAACTGTACAGTTCAAATCAATGTATTAAATACTTGAAAATTGTTGACATATATTTTATTTATTTATTTATTTAGCGAATGGATGTCAATCTGTAGCCTGAAACTCACTATGTAGCCCACAGTCTGGTCCTAAACTCAGAGCACCCCTCCTGTCTCAGCTTCTGAAGTTCTGGGGCGCAGGCATGGACTATCTATGCCCAGCATGAGCATAGATTTCTAAGTGTTTTTTTCACATAAAGAAGATAAAAATATGAGTTAAAGCAGCATGGTAGTTGGTAGTTGGCCAGAGAAATATGAAGCAGCTGAGCATAGAGAGGCCTGAGGGCCAAGCTCTGAGGCGTCATGTGGGAAACACACGCATCTTTGAGGTAGATGGAGTTGACCTTTTTACATTTTTACTCTTGAAATGTAAAGATCTGAGTAAACCTATGGCCTGCTTTTTAAAACAATTGTGTGTGTGTGTGTGTGTGTATCTGCCCACAGCATGCCTGCATGTGGAAGTCAGAAGACAATTTGTAAAGTCAGTTTTCTCCTTCTGCCAGATGGGTCACAGATATTGAACTCAGTTCAGTTCGTGAGGCTTGGTAATAAGTGCCTTTCCATGCTAAGCCAGCTATCTGGCCAGTCCTTTGTTTTGTTTTAAATGCAAAAATTATGAGGAAATGGCACAGAAATGTCATGGAGGTAAAAATAAGTTAAACTTGACTATCAATTTGTTCCTGACTAGGCCCTCACTGACACTGAGATACTTTTATCCATCCATGGCTTAGTTCTTTTGAAGTCTAAACAGTAACTATTCCAAGCCTGACACTTTCTCTAGTTTCTTTTCTATATTTTAAGACTTATTCTGAAATTTAAAAAATTTATATTTATATATCTGTGTGACTGTATGAGACATGTGGATGGATACCTTCAGAGGCCAGAAGTGGGTGTCATATCCCCTGGATTTAGATTTATAGGTGATTGTGACCACTTAACATGGGTGCTGGGAACCAAACTTGAGTCCTCTGCAAGAGCAGCAAGCACTTTTAAATGCAGAGCAATCTGTCCACCCCCTCCTCCAGTCTCTAAACCACCTCTGTCTCTGTCCTGCTCAGCAGCAGATCCTGATCCAACCTCACCGAGGTCAAGACTGCCTGACAATTCTTGGACTCAGAACATCTGTTCAGAAATCTCTCCATATCTTCAACTCTTTGCCTTTAGTCCTGTCTCAGAGGGAGGGTATTTTCCCTTCGTGAGAGATGAACCCAGGCACTTCTGGTTTGGTACTTTCCTACTGGCACATTATCTTGTCTTACATATCATTATCTAATTCCATTTACAAAAGGAGCTCAACTATGGCATTGGGGACGCACACTTAGGAGGTGACCTTCAGTTACCTAAGTAGGGATGATGGGAGCAGTGAGGAGACAGCTCACTCTTGCAGGTAGGAAGTGGGGAGGGGTGCCCCAGACTTCTGGAAGGTCCTGGCTCCCTACTCAGGTCACATGTGTACATAGATGTTTGTTTAATGACTCAAAATTGCATATTTAGTCTATGTACATTCATAGGTAGAAACATCTTAACATAAAGCTTTTGGAAAAACAAAGTCAAAACATCTTTAAGCCATTTTACACTAAACAAACAGGTAAGTACTCTCTCAACCAGCTCTGCTGAGAGCCACCACCACATCACCAGTCCTACAGCCAAGCTGGTCAAGACAGTAGTCTCCCTGTCACCATAACCTTGATCCCTGTGACTGCTTCTCCTTGTTTTTTAGAGATGGGGTGTGCCTATGTAGCCCAGGTTGGCTCGAACTCACAATCTCTCTGTCTCAGCCTCCTGAGTACTGGGATTACAGGCGTGTACCACCATACCCAGCTTCTCATGACTTTAAAACTTTACAGACTCAGCCTGGTACATGCCTTTAATCCCAGCACTTGGGAGGCAGAGGCAGACAGATCTC